CAGAGATCGCCAGCGGCCCTTTGAACGGCCAAAAGGCACACTCCACAGTCATTCGGCATCGGCTCAGCCTGTAGTTGAACCGTTCCTTGCTGCTGTCAAGGCTCCCCGTGTAGGGTTTCATGAGCCACGGCATTAACGGGTAAGCGGAGTCTCCAAGGATCACAATGGGCATTTTGACTTCCCCTACTGTGATCTTCCGCTCTGGGAAAAAAGTCCCAGCCTGCAGCTTCCTGAACAGGCCAGTGTTCCAAAAGATGAGTGCGTCATGCACCTTTCCGGGCCAGCCTGTGTTAATGTCAATGAAACGCCCACGGTGATCCACAAGTGCCTGGAGAACCATAGAGAAATACCCCTTCAGATTAACGTACTCGGATGCTAGATGGGGTGGTGCCAGAATAGGAATATGCGTCCCATCTATCGCCCCTCCGCAGTTAGGGAAACCCATTTGTGCAAAGCCATCCACAATGTCCTACACGTTACCCAGAGTCACGGTTCTTCTGAGCAGGACGTGATTAATGGCCCTGCAAACTTGCATCAACACGATTCCAACGGTCGACTTTCCCACTCCAAACTGGTTCGCAGCTGATCAGTAGCTGTCTGGAGTTACCAGCTTCCAGATTGCAGTAGCCACCCGCTTCTCCACCGTCAGGACAGCTCTCAATCTCGTGTCCTTGAGCCGCAGGGTGGGGGCGAGCTCCTCACACAGTCCCATGAAAGTATCAGAGGGATAGCTGTATTAGTCTGGATCTGTAAAAAGCAACAAAGAGTCCTGTGGCACCTTATAGACTAACAGATGTATTGGAGCGTAAGCTTTCGTGGGTGAATGCCCTCTTCGTCAGACGCATGTATTCACCCACGAAAGCTTATGCTCCAATGCATCTGTTAGTCTATAAGGTGCCACAGGACTCTGTTGCTTTTTACAGTTCAATGAAAGTGGCTTTTCTCATCCGAAAGTTCTGCAGCCACTGCTCGTCATCCCAGACTTGCATGGCAATGTGATCCCACCACTCAGTGCTTGTTTCCCAAGCCCAAAAGCAGCGTTCCACGGTGCTGAGCATGTCCGTGAATGCCACAAGCAATTTCGTGTCGTACGCGTTACGCGACTCACTATCATCATCGGACTCCTCACTCTCACTTTGGATCTTAAGGAATAACTCGACAGCCAAACATGACGTACTGATGAGACTCGTCAGCAGACGCCTCAGCAGTTCAGGCTCTATTTCCGGCAGACCGAAACGGAACACAGATCACTCTGCACAGAAACCGTTGAAAGATGGCGCTAAATGGTGCCAAATGTGGACGGAAACACGGGATTGCTGGGATGCGAAGCGATGCATTACGGGGTATTGGGACAGGACCCACAAAGCCCCTCCCCACCCCACCCCCTTCCCACAACGCATGGCGCCAGAATGGGAAGAGGTGCTCTGTGGGATAGCTGCCTGTAATGCACCGCTCCCAATGCCGCTGCAAGTGCCGCAAATGCGGCCATGACAGTGCGCTGTCAGCTGTCAGTGTGGACCGACTGCAGCGCTTTCCCTACTCAGCTGTATGAAGGCAGGTTTAACTCCCAGCGCTGGACATCTGCAAGTGTAGCCAGACCCTGGGTGCCCTAATTCCAGCTGTTTTTTCTGCAGTTCCCAAACCTTCCAGCCTCCGTCCATAACTTCTGTGGCCAGGTCTGTGTTTTCAGAACAAAATTCCAGGGCTTGCTGGAAATCTAGAAGCTGCATAAAACAGAGTGACTTTCAAATCAATATAAATCAGAGATCTCATCATGGCTGGTGTGATCTGTGTTTGTGTTTAATCCAAGAATTCTCCTTTTTCGAATGTACCTGGAGCTGCTCCAACATTTCTGGCCTGCACTGGACCCTGGGCCCTTGCTGCAGATTTTAGATCCCGTGTGGTGCCCAATACACACACAGGGCCCTGCATTTAAGCAGATGTGACCTCCCTCCCCCGAAACAAGTGAAGAATTCCACCCCCCCTTGACCAATATGAACATTATGCAAGGGATTTGAAGTCAATTGTATGCTGACATCACAGGCCTGGTCAGCACTGGAGGTTTTTCTACCTTGAGTTAATTAATTGCCAATTAACTCAAGATTGTGAACATCTTGGCCTGGTCTTCAGTAGGAGAAATGGTGTGTTCTTAACTTGAATAAGCTAACTTTTGGTCTGTCTTCACTGCACAGTTAACCTGGGCTCTTACCTGGGTGTTAGCCCAAATCCCTACCAGCCACACAGAAAAGCATTTGAGCTGGGTTTGGAGCCTGGGAGAGCTGACCCCCTACGGGTACAGGCTAGAACCTGGGCTCCAGTTTATGCTGGGGTAGCTTGTGTTCGTTCTCTGAACCAGGGGCATAGTTGTGGCGTTGGGGAAAAAGCTGAGCTGCCACCATCTGTCATTGCCCGTCCACCTGAAAGCCGGGGCCCACCGAAATTTCCACTCCTAGCCACGCCACTGCTCTGAACTGGCATAAGCTATACCAGTAGAAGCACTTTTATACCAATATAGCTGTGCCCACAGCAGGAGGATTTTGCCAGTTTAACTAAACTGGTGCGTTAAACTGGCAGAACCTGTAAGTGTAGCGCAGGCCTGAGCTCACTTGTGTTAAGAACACACCTTTTGTCCTAGTGAAGGCACCCCTTTTGAAAGGCTCATTTCTTCTAGGCTACAAACAATTGTCATTTGTCCCAGGAAAATGGTTCTGCCAAACTACAAACGTTCAGTGTGTTAAAGTACCTCTAGTTAATGGACAGTCAGTTAACTTGAGGTACAATGGTCTGCTGAAGACATGTAAAAACAAGCTGCCGTTTTCCAGGCCTCAGTCACTCCACAGTAGTACCCAAGATGGCTGATCTCGTGTGTAAGGGGGACCGACCCTTGTTCCACAATTGTGTGAATGCCCTGTGAGTTCAGATATACAAATACAATGCAGCAAAACCACTGCCGAGGTGCCAGGGGCATCCCAGGGGTTGTGATGATACCACAACCCACACGAACCCCACACATGCAGTCAGAAGCCAGTCGAGTGACTGTGTGTTTAGCTCTATGGTCCAGGCTTACCTGTGTAGTAAGATGTATAATAGCCTAACCCTCTATCCCAGTTGTATAAAGTCTGTGGGAATCTGGATGCACAGTGGGTGCAGGATTGTGCTTACTCAGTGCATATACTGCTCTGCCCTGCCATGCAGGAGAACCCAGATCTTATTCCTAGCTCTGTCGTCACACTGCCCTGCGGAGCAGATACGGGAGGGGCTTTGGAAGCCATGTGTCCAGACCTAGGACTTGTCTACACTATCACTTAAGTCGATGTAACTTGTGTCGCTCAGGGGTGTGAAAAAGCCACCCCAAGTGAGGCAAGTTACGTTGACTTAAAGCAGTGTCCCCACCGTTGTGGTGGAGTAACTAAGCCGACATGAAAGCGCTCTCCTGTCAGCATAGCGCGTCTTCAGGCGTTCTACAGCGGCGCAGCTGTGCTGATACAGTGTGGTAGTGTAGACTAGCCCCGAGGCAGTGCCTCTTGCCATTCAGCATCAGGTTGTCCAGCTGGGCTCCCCGAGGAGAACAGCTTCTCTGAGCCAGGAGGCGTTGGGGCTGCGACAGGCACCTGGGGCTGGGAAGTGTCAAGCAGAGTAGAAAGGTCGGGTGTGAACATGGGACAGAACTATTGCTGGCTCTGACATTGACTCTTAACCCTTTATGGCTCTGAAAAACCCACTTCCCCTCTGTGCGTCAGTCTCCCTATCTGGGTATTACCTCTGAGGTGATGGTGAGGATCAGTCAGGCCTATGTTTACAAATGTGCTTGCTCACTTTAGCTAGTCACCATGACGCACCAAGGGGCCTGATTTCCAGAGGTGCGGAGCACCCACAACCTCCATTCTAATCGGTTAGAGTTTTGCACTTCTGAAAATCAAGCCCCAGATGTCTTATGCTGGAAGGACGGGGGCCCAACTCCGTGACCATTTGTGAAATATTTGGCCCCCATGTTTACAAAGCATGCTATAAATGCAACATATTGATAGTTGTAATAATCCACAGAGGCGTTCTGCTGTTCAGCACTCTGTTAGTAACTAGTTGAAATTCTATGGCCTGTGTTAAACAGGAGATCAGACTAAATGTTCTAATTGTTCCTTAATATACATCAGCCTCCACTAGCGCATTGCACTGAGTTTGAAGTTTGCCTAAGAGGAAGCTTGTACATTCTGCTCCTCTGGTCACTTAAAAGAGTGGATCAGGCAAGCTGCGCAGAGTAGCAGTGCATGATCACACCTTGTACTGGGGGACTGCTCCTACTGAAATCCACAGGCAATGCAAAAGTCCTCTTTGCAGATTGGAGCAGGCTGAGCTCAGTTATGTTACTGGTGGGTGACTCAGCCGAGTAGTTGGGAGGTATAGTGTTGCAGCCCTTGTATTGGAGACAGCTTAACTCAGGATCCAGAAGCTATTAGGGTCGGTAAAATGTATCCGAAGCAATGACTTTCACCTAGTGTACAGGAATAGTTCTGTGAGCTCATTGGGATTCTCTTCTTAAGCACCTATGGCTGTGCATCCTGACCGTAGTAGGGAGGACTCAGCACTTTTGAAAAAAACAGATCCTGGGTGTCTCAAGTCAGATCCCCAAACCGAGAGATTCCCAGAACTAGAGGAAATGTTTGAAGATGTTAGGCCTTAATAAAAGAGCAAGCACTTGGACGTAGTCTTTTGTAGGAATGTTTTCAGGGAGAGAATCTGCTATTCTGTCTAGCTTCCCCCACTCCCTTTTCCCCAAAAAACAGAGAGAGAGAGAGACAGAGATTGAGGAGAGCTTAACATTTGAAAAATAAGGAGATGATATTTTGATTAGGTGCCTTTATATTTAGGAACTGTTAAGGGATAACAAAAGTACATAAAATCAAATATTCTCTAATCTGAATATCTTGTGTTCACATTGCATATCTTGTAGCTGCACTGCTTGGGTTACTAACAGAGTGCTCTGCCATACTGTTCTCTTTCAGTTGGGGGCAGCGAATCTTTGCGTTCCTATTGGAAGATGTACCTGCCCAGGGTTCTAGTGCTGATATACGTTGTGGATTCAGCAGATCGTGAGCGCTTCCCTTTGGCTAAACAGCTTCTTCATCAGTTGATCCAAAATGACTCCACTCTGCCCGTGGTGATCCTAGCCAATAAACAGGTAAAAGGGAAACTTAAACCTCTCCAAACACATTTGAATCTTTAAAGACCAGGTATTTCAGAAGCTGATCTTCAATTTTGTGCTTCCCAATTGCAGATGAAAACAATCTCTGGATTGGTTTTGCACTCACAGTTTAGGTCAGGTGCTTAGATATCCATATGACCTAAGTGGGAGTGTAAATAATTGCACATGTAAAATTGTGTGTGCAATTTGCAGGTGCAGAAATGGAGAACTGGCTAACCCTGGTTGACAGCTTGGACCTGAAGGCTCAACAATGTGTCTGTACAGTGTCTTGGGAAAATACTATTTAATTTAGGGGCTGGAGGGCATTTCTCTCTATGGTTCACGTTACCTACTAGCGTCCACTTAGTGGATCCCAAATGATTCTTTATATTAGGCACTTTGTGTTTCATAGAATGGGTGCATAGCTGAAGGAACTGCAATATGCTTTCTCTCAGCTAGACACATTTTCTCCTACCTAATGCACTAAAATACAGAAGATAACTTTGTATTCCTTGGCTACTCTGCGCCCTGTATTGAATCACACCCATATTATATCAATATGACAAAGAAAATGCCTGTTTTTTTCTAAAACAAGATACTCTTATCTCACTAAAACCCTGTTTGTTTCTTTTGCTTTGCCTCAGATTTTCTAATGACTTGACTTTTACTTGGGCCATGCATCTGTCTGATGGGTGTGCACTTCCAGAAATCCATTGGGTCATGTTCCCAGTGGGGACTCTCAAGTTCAGGGATGAGCCTTGCTGTCAGAGACATTGGAACAGCATAAAACAGGATCATGCCCTTGGATTGTATGGAGCTAACCAGATTTTCAAAAGGCCGAAGGGTTTTGGGAGCACAGATCACAGAGACAGTAGGAATTTATGCTCCGAAATCCATTAGACACTTTTGAAAATCTTCCCCTCAATTCACAGTATTCACTCTCAATTATCCAAATGTCCTGGTCTTTGCCTCAGAGCCTGAATGGCGTAATTGGTGTTTATAAGGGATGCAAGTAACAGAGTTGTTTTGTCTTTGTTGGTCAGGATCTCAAAGGTGCATATTGCATCACAGACATTCATGATGCCCTGGCATTGTCTGAAATGGGAGATGAGAGAAAGATGTTCCTGATTGGAACCCACGTGGCAGAGGATGGCTCCGAGATCTCTTCCAGCATGAAGGATGCCAAGGAACTGATTGCGCAGCTGGTTTCAGAAACTCAGTGACAACTGTTCTCCTGGGAGCAGGAATGGGATACTGTGTTGTTGTACTGCCAGCTTGCAGCCACAATAGTTTCACTTTCAAATCAAAATATGTGGCATTATTTTTCCTAATGCGTGGAGTTTATATGAAAATGATGTCAATTTGTTACAAACATCTATTTTATTTAGGGTTTGCAGTTTAAAATATCTTTGAAAAGCAGTGTCTTTTTTTTTTTAATATTTGTAGGGTGGGGGAAGTTTCAAGAAGACAGAGTTAATGGGAGATGCAGTTTAGAAACACTGACCCAGAGCCTCAGCTGTTATAAATCAACCTTATTCAATTAACTTCAATTACATGACACTGATTTGTACCAGCTGAGGAGCTGAGCCTGACATTGTTTGTTTCTGTGTTTTACAAAATCCTAATAACAATGATTTCTGCACTTTCAAATAGGAAAACGTTCCCCCAGTGTTGGGACGGTTACGATTGTTCAGAAGTGGCTAGCAATGTTGGATGCCCCAATTTCTGAGTGTCCAGCTTGACACCTTTGGGAAGGGCTGTTTTTCAGAGGGTGGCCATTTGTCACTTTCTGGAAATCAGGCCCTTTTAAGGTGTCTTGAGTTGGGCACCCAAAATCACTAATCCCTTTTGAAAAGCTTGGCTTGTAGCCTTTTGTTAGTGTGTGAAAACCAGGAAGTGAAACTGAGAAGGCAGAAACCACTGTCTAAGGGTTTCTTTGACTATAGAAGATAGTTTCAACAGTATAACTTACAGTGAGAATTTAAACCTGTTTAGTTAGTGGTGCAAACGGCTGTAGGGACACTTACTTTAGTTTGAGTGGCTTATTTTGGTTTAGTTTAATTCAACTAGGAACCTGTTTAAGCTAAACTGAAATTAGCCATTCTTATACCAGATAAAGCTGTCCAGCCACCCCTCTTGCATTAGTTTAACTATATTGGTTTTAAAGACAATTAAAGTTACTTCAGGGCAAGTTGACAAGCCCTGAGCTAAGTCAAATGCCAAAAGTAAACAAACAGTATCAAAGATGAAAAATAAATCACATTTTAAAAATTACTTCGGCTATTTACAGATAAGGAAAACAGTTTGTTCATTATGTTCATCTTGCCATTGTCTCTTTAATTTAAAGAATGTACCTCCTTAAGAATATTTAGAAAATACTGTAAATACCAAGCAAAGGTTTTGTAACAGCAGATACTGTACAAAGGTTTTGTAGCAGCAGCCTTTCCATTTGTCCACTGAAACAGTTATATAAAGCAGAACCTTTTATCATAGTCACATGTCTGAGTTTCATTTATCTGGCAAGACTGCTCAGCTGATATTCCAGAACCTCCCGATGGTCTGGTAGAGTTAGTTTTAGGTTTTATTACACTCTGGTATTGTTAATGTCAAAATCCTGGTCCCAGCCTTCCCACTCTCTTTCTCCAAAGACCTCTTTTCCTCTGCTTTGCACACATCTCCTGTTCTAGGCTGCTGCTTCACCTCCCACCTCCTGACTCAGCTCAGGCAGCTAGCACTTTCCCCCTGGTTAACAGCGACTGCCTGCAACCATTCCTTGGGCCACTCCTGTTAGTTGATTGGCTGGGGAAAGGAAGGGGGTTCAAACTCTCTCTCATGCTGCTTGTTGGGGAGGGTAAGTGTGTTCATTTCAAACCTCGGTCTCTGTCCAGTTTCCAACCTCACCATTCCGCCTGTATAGTGCTGAACCCCTAGCTCCAGGAGCAGCTCTGACCCAAAATATTGGTCTTTACTGACTTAAAGAGCAGACCAAAACTGATTTTTCTGCCAGATAGACTACTGGAGCAGAACTTGAACCAAATTCGGTGACACCACTACTGCTTTGTTTCCCTGCCCTTTGCCCTAAGCTGAGCAAGAGGTGATGATCGCTCAAAACAGAGGTTATGGACTTAATACAGAAATTACTGGGTAAAATTCTTTGGCCTGTGAGCTATGCAGGAGGTCAGATTGACTGATCATAATGGTATCTTCTGGCCTTAGAACATAAGAACGGGCATACTGGGTCAGACCAAAGGTCCATCTAGCCCAGTTTCCTGCCTTCTGACAGTGGCCAACGCCTGGTGCCCCAGAGCGAATGAACAGAATAGGTAATCATCAAGTGATCCATCCCCTGTTGCCCATTTCCAGCTTCTGGCAAACAGAGGCAAGGGACACCATCTCTGTCCATCCTGGCTAATAGCCATTGATAGACCTATTCTCCATGAACTTATCTAGTTCTTTTTTGAACCCTGTTATAGTCTTGGCATTCACAACATCCTCTGGCAAGGAGTTCCACAGGTTGACTGTGTGTTGTGTGAAAAAATACTTCCTTTGGTTAGTTTTAAATCTTCTGCCTACTAATTTAGTTTGGTGACCCCTCGTTCTTGAGAAGGAGTAAATAACATTTCCTTATTTACTTTCTCCACACCAGTCATCATTTTATAGACCTCTATCTTATCCCTTCTTAGTCGTCTCTTTTCCAAGCTGAAAAGTCCCAGTCTTATTAATCTCTCCTCAGAAGGAAGCCATTCCATACCCCTCATCATTTTTGTCGCCCTTTTCTGAACCTTTTCCAATTCCAATATATCTTTCTTTTGAGATGGGGCGACCGCATCTGCATGCCGTATTCAAGATGTGGGCGTACCATGGATTTATATAGAGGCAATATGATAATTTTCTATCTTATCTATCCCTTTCTTAATGATTCCCAACACTCTGTTCGCTTTTTTGACTGCTGCTGCACGTTGAGTGGATATTTTCAGAGAACTATCCACAATGATTCCAAGATCTTTCTTGAGTGGTAATAGCTAATTTAGACCCCATCATTTTATATGTATAGTTGGGATTATGTTTTCCAATGTGCATTACTTTGCATTTATCAACATTGAATTTCATCTGCCATTTTGTTGCCCAGTCACCCAGTTTTGAGAGATCTTTTTGTAGCTCTTTGCAGTCTGCCTGGGACTTAACAGTCTTGAGTAGTTTTATATCATCAGCAAATTTTGCCACCTCACTGTTTACCCTTTTTTCTAGATCATTTATGAATATGTTAAATAGGACTGGGCTTAATACAGACCCCTGGGGGACACCTCTTACTTACCTCTCTCCATTCTGAAAACTGACCATTTATTCCTACCCTTTGTTTCCTGTCTTTTAACCAGTTACCAATCCATAAGAGGACCTTCCCTCTTATCCCATTGCAGCTTCCTTTGCTTAAGAGCCTTTGGTGAGGGACCTTGTTAAATGCTTTCTGAAAATCTAAGTACACTATATCCACTGGATCCCCCTTGTCCACATGCTTGTTAACCCCCTTAAAGAATTCTAGTAGATTGGTGAGGCATGATTTCCTTTACAAATACCATGTTGACTCTTCCTCTACAAATTATGTTCATCTATGTGCCTGACAATTCTGTTCTTTACTATAGTTTCAACCAGTTAACCCGGTACTGAAGTCAGGCTTACTGGCCTGTAATTGCCGGGATCACCTCTGGAGCCCTTTTTAAAAATTGGTGTCACATCCAGTCATTTGGTACAGAAGCTGATTTAAATGATAGGTTATAGACTACAGTTAGGAGTTCTGCAATAATCTGGGACAGTTCTTCAGATTTGTCACCTAAAAGGAATGGCTGAGGTTTGGGAATCTCCCTCACATCCTCAGCCGTGAAGACCGATGCAAAGAATTCATTTAGTTTCTCCGCAATTCCCTTATCATCCTTGAGTGCTCCTTTAGCATCTCGATCGTCCAGTGGCTCCACTGGTTGTTCAGCAGGCTTCCTGCTTCTGATGTACTTAAACATTTTTTTGCTATTACTTTTTGAGCCTTTGGCTAGCTGTTCAAATTCTTTTTTGGCCTTCCTAATTATATTTTTACACTTAATTTGCCAGACTTTACGCTCCTTTCTATTTTCCTCACTAAGATTTAACTTCCACTTTTAAAGGATGCCTTTTTGCCTCTCACTGCTTCTTTTACTTTGTTGTTTAGCCACAGTGGCACTTTTTTGGTTCTCTTACTATGTTTTTTAATTTGGGGGATACATTTAAGTTGAGCCTCTATTATGGTGTCTTTAAAAAGTTTCCATGCAGCTTGCAGGGATTTCACTTTTTGCGCTGTACCCTTTAATTTCTGTTTAACTAACTTCCTCATCTTTGTGTAGTCCCCCTTTCTGAAATTAAGTGCTACCATATTGGGCTGCAGTGGTATTTTCCCCGTCACAAGGATGTTAAATTGCCAGGGCCTGTGCTTTGAGAAAAGTCTGTGTCCATGTCCTCATCACTATCGTGATCGTGCTGTCGACGCCTCCTTGCCTGCTTTTGCAGGTTCTGGTTCTGCACATACTACAGGATAATGCGCAAGGTGTTTACAGTGCTCACAACAGCAGCAGTGAGCTGAGCGGGCTTGTAGCAGGGCGGACTCACCCCTGCAGCGCCTCCTGCTGGTCATTTCTGGGAATTAGCTCACTTTCCAGCCAGGAGCGCCCTCTGCAGGCCAGTGATCCGCCTTACCGCTGGCCCCCGTGTCCCTCCTGGACCCCAGTGCCCCTTTCTCCGGCTCCCCGGCAGTACCCCCACACTCTAGGTCTCCCCTCCCAGGGGAACTCCAGCCCACTCACCCCACCTTGCCTCAGTGTAAGGTTACTGCCAGTCACCATCTAGCTCCACTCCCTGGGGCAGACTGCAGTATACACCACTCATCACAGGCGAGGTTGGGTTTGGATCTGCTGCCTTGGCCTACCCCTGGGCTACCCTCAGCAACCCGCAGTACCTGTTGGCCTCCTACTAGGCCGCAGCCTGGGGCTTTCCAGACTGGAGCTCCCCAGCCTGTCCCCAGCCCTGCTCCACTCAGGTACTCGGTCTCTAGCTCCCTGCAGCCAGGCCCATCTCTCTGAATGCAGAGAGAGACTGCTGAGCTCCTGGCTCCCAGCCTCTTTATACAGGCCAGCTGGGGCCTGACTGGGGCATGGCCCAGCTGCAGCTGCTTCCCAATCAGCCTAGTAGTTTTCCCCCTGCCCCAGCCCTCTTCCCGGGCTGTCTTTAAACCCCTCTGGGCAGGAGTGGGTAACCACCCCGCTACAGGGCTCCATGCTCGCCGTGGTATGGCATCTGCAGGAAAGCAGCGTTGCAGCGGAAGCGGTGGATGACAGCGGATGCCACGAGAATGGGTATTTATACCGAACGACGAGAGGACCTGCGAGGTGGATTCATGGCACCAGGAGAGCAGAGTTGCAGCGGAAGCGGTGGATGATGATGGTTTGCAGACCTACTGCACCGTCTGCTGCCAGCAGCACGCAGGACACAACAGCAGCGGTGACGCTGAGCTGAGCTGAGCGGGCTCCATGCTTGCCGTGGGATGGCGTCTGCATGGAAAAAAGGTGCGAAACGATTGTCTGCCGTTGCTTTCACAGAGGGAGGGGCGACTGACGCCATGTACCCAAAACCACCCGCGACAATGTTTTTGCCCCATCAGACATTGGGAGCTTAACCCATAATTCCAATGGGCAGCGGAGACTACGGGAACTGTGGGATAGCTACCCACAGTGCACCACTCCATGAGTCGATGCTAGCCATGGTATTGAGACGCACTCCGCCAACCTACTGTGCTTAGTGGGGACATACACGATCGACTGTATAAAATCGCTTTCTAAAGATCGACTTCTATAAATTCAACCTAATTTCGTAGTGTAGACATACCCAATCTATGAATCAGAGACTTCGTTTTCTTCCAGCTAGGACAGGCACAAGGGACAGAAACAAGGGACAAACACTACAGCAGCCATAGCCATGACAAATTCATAGACTACTTCAAGAGATTTTTTAAAATCTTTAAAAAACAAGCTTAAATTGGAAGCAGTTGAAAGAGAAGACCATGGGGATGCAGTATTATCAATCCCAAGCGCTCAGAATTCATGAGTTAGGCCCCCAAAATAACAAGATTTTAAAAATAACTTTTGGGTTCCTTTTCTTTGCCTTCTGGTGTCATAGGCTTTAGGGGTCACATTTTAAAGCCTTTCTTCATATCCACGAGGGCTAGAAACTTATTTTTAAAGTGAATGCTGAGATTCTCAAAGTAATCCTAACTCCAGAAGCTGGGTTTTTAAAGAAAGCATTGAATATCATGAGAGTCATGATGAAGTTGTGAGAGTTGGCAACACTGGGACTGCAATACTGTTAGAAGAAAAAAATATGCCATTCCTAACAGACAGGGCAGAGCCCTGATGCCATCTGCTAATTTAAGATAATATTTGACATTATTTTAATATATGATCAGAGATGAGAGAGT